TTTAAAATTCCTGTGCTGGTACGGAAAGAATACGTAGAAAAAGATAATCATACCGTTTAAAGTATGTTTGTAAAAAAATCTATAATATGTTGTTTGTAGGATTGTTTATTATGAATGAAGTGTCTTTTTTTTGTGAAATCACATGCGTCATTTATTTTAAAAGACTTTGTTCTATATTTCTAGATATCATCCAGAAGAAATTAAACACCGAAGAAATGTACAAAACAATGCCTTTCCTGAATCGTTTAAAAGATAACGAGAAGAATGAATTGGATAAATACTTCATCGATAAGGTAATGAAGTCATGATTAAGAACTGGATACCTACTTCATCGATGAAGAAATGAAGCTGTGCATGTGCTGATTTTGTGTCATGGATGGATACCCCATGTCCTTTGTTTTTCTATTATAACCCCCGCCCCCCCAAAAAAATAAAAAAAATACTTGAATAAATCTTATTTTTAAATAATGGAATCACCGCAACCACTGCATGAACAGCCATGTAAATTTAGTGACAAATATGCACATTATGTAGTAATTAAATTATACTGCCATAAAGTGGTTTCGGTTATCTTTTATTTTGTTTTCCGACATTTTAATGCGACTTTATCTATAGCATAAGTCATCACCTATCTTTTTGCAGCAAACAGCAATGATTTAAAAAATAGCATTACATGTAGAATCGGATACACATAATATTCGAAACTAACGACATCAGTCATATCGATAAATCAGACAAAAGTAGTGAAGAATCGGAATTTTACAATGATAATAAAAATTTCACACAAATATCTAAAATCGACAGTGGTCATTGATAATTGACAAAATCACACAAGTAGTCAAATTCGACAGTTGTCAACGAATATCGATCAATTTTCACAAGTTGTCTGAAACATCAGTCAATGACAATCGCTAAATACACATCAGCAGTAAGAATCGGTAGTTTTCGGATGGCTGTCCAATTTTTATACCAGCAATAAGAACTTGCAGTTGTCAATAACACGAAACTTTAAGTTTACATTACATGTAACTATTAGAGCAGATACTTGTTTTGTAACTGACGTGAGGTTGTTTTGCTTGTTTGCATCTGGTTTTTTTCTGTGTCGACGCATTTTTTCTACAAGATTCGGATGATTCTTTTTCCTGAATAGCAATTCTTTTATAGCACATATAGACATTCATAATCAAAATTTGTCTCCATTAATAAAATAATACGAATAAGCAAATAAATCATCATGAGTTAACTATCTCAACTTAAAACCACCCTGAAGGCATCTTTGTATTTTTTTTATACAAACTTACCCCATTTGTTCACTTCTTTCTTGTAAGATCATTATCTGCTATGTCCCTTAGTGATCAAAACACAAATTTAATATTTGTTATCCTTTTTATTTTCAGTTTCGAAATGAATCACTACGGCAGGTATGGAAACATGATTTCAGGGAAAAAGAAAAAGCCATTCTAGCTCGTCAACAGCAGATTGAAATGTCAGATGAAATCAAAGGTCAGACAAAGAAATGGCAAGTTCTCAAAAAGGAATTAGAAGATAAAATTAAATCGAAGGACGAGGAAATCATGGTATTAAATCTTCAAATAAAGTCTCTAAATCAAGCGGTTAGAGAAACTGAACAACGACTTAGAGCTGATTTTCAAAAGCAAATGCATTTTAATGAAGCAAACGAAAATCAAATAAAAAGGGTGCAAGAAAATGTAGGTGCAGCAGAAATGATTTTAGGCGAAATAAATGAGAAAATGGCACCGTATTTGAAGAAAAAAGCTCGAATTCTGACTGACAAAGAACGGAAGGTTCTCGAACATTATAAATACTCTTTCATGATACCAGATTTTGAAGTTTTCCTTGAACAGTACCGCGAACTCCTTAACATCAAAAAGCTCTATGAAGCTCTGAGAGAAGATAAAGAATATGTATTAACCTATATAATAGGCTACTGCCCAAAAGACTTTGAAGAAAGAAGTTTGAAAGAAGAGTTCAAACAATATCTTATAAAAACTGACGAATCCATCACTGACCTGAAGGACAAACTATCCGAGGCAGAAATGATAATAGAAGGACAAAAGGAACAAGTCGAAAAAATAGGAAAAGATTCAAACGAAAAGAAAAAGTTTCAAATGGGAGCGGGTGTATGGCAGGGTGCCATCATGAACGTAATGCGAAACCAACTACAAGATCTAAAACGCGATATTCGATTGAAAGAATCGAGAATTCAAATGTGCGAAAAAGATGCAGCGCGTTTAAAGAATATAAATAATGATTTAAAACAGGATCTTCAACGTGTGAAGATGGAGAAACAATCAGTAACCTCACGTGAAACACGTCATACACTTAGTATAGACGTAAATGGTCGTTTATCCATTAATTCTGATAATAGTGCTGGATTAGAAACGGCTTTAGATAATTACAGCGATTGCAGGACGGAAGTTTCTAAAGGGAAACAATCACTTCTTCCACCGATGAACACCAAGGTAATACGGGATGCCGTCAGTCCAACGACTCCACGAAACCTTCCCAAACCGAAACCTTTTGTTATGGCCACGTCTGAAGCTGCTTCAGTTCGTCATCCCATGATGAGCAATGGTTTAGTAACAGCCCCTGTGAGACTAGAAAAAAGACATTTAGATCGTTACTCACAAATGCCTCATGGATTCGGAGATGTGAAGAAAATGCATTCACAGGGAAAATCGAAATTTGAAAAAGCCTTGCCACCACCGAAAATCCGCTATTGACGAATCTTTTGCTTTGGGATGATAATCATTTACTGTATGTAAAAATAATTAACTGACATCCACATTTCCTTCATATATATATATATGTGTGTGTGTATTAAAGTTGCATTTCTAAGCAAAACAATGGAAACGGGAAAAAAAATAATGCAACAAATAAGGTCCCTGGAGTATTTTCTAGGAAAATATTTTAAATTACAGTGAATTTTCGACGCTTATCAAATTTTGACTATAATTTCGCATTCTAATAACTTTGATAATAAGATTATGTCTACTTAATTTAGTGCTTTGATAAGGAGTAAAGAAATTGTTTTCATTAAATGCAAGGACACAGGATTAGTAGTTGAGGACTGATCAATCGCATTAAATTTGTTGTGCCAAAAGTTTAAACTATGTATTAAAATTTATTGAAATACAATAAAATGTATCCTCACACTATTAAAATGTCTTTTTATGGACATTAAAACCATTATGTTTGAATTGTTGATCTTGTTCGTAGTAAATGTGATTAAACACATAATTGAAATTTATTCTGAATGTCCTTAGTGGTCAATTTTTCAAATAAGAAAGAAGGTCATGCATGGTCTTTCTGTGATTAAATACATATTTATCCCTTTTAATAAGATCGGATTAGGTTCTGCAAAATAAAAGGAAAAATTCACCGCCAATATTATTTAAAACAATAAACCAGATATAGTTTATCCGGATAAACTAAATGCAATAAAATCTCCTTTACATATTGACAACTTTCATAATAATAATCCTTTTAATAAGATTTCATTAGAAATTAATCTTTGGCACGAAAAATCCTCTTGACTTTTCAAAGTTACACAATCTATTTCGCAAAGAAGTTATTCTTAAAAGAATAAGTTCATTTCTGATTAGACAATCTTGAAACACTTTTCAAGAATATCTTAATGGTAAAAACTATTGTAGTCTTTACTTTTCCCGTCCATCAGAATGGCACATTCCTAGGTCGCTTCCGTTTGGCTGTATAAATACGGAGCCACATCTGGGACTTCCCTTTGAACCCCTCTCCATATATGCCTTTGTTTATTCCTTCATCAGAAGGGGTTCAAACGGAAATCTTTCTCCGTAGTTGATCTATTGAAGAAAAAAAAATATCTTTCAAACCCATCATACACCCTCCTCCCAGTGACAGTGTCAATTAATACTTTTATCTTGTTTAATGTCGACTTCATTTGTTCTTCCTTATAACCGCGCTGGAAAAGTTGTTGTGCAAGTTTGTATAATGAGCACAATGTTGGTGAAGACTGTATAATGTTAACATCAATTGAGATATTACGAAGGGCAGAGGGTAAGTTACTATTTTGAAGTGAAAAGTTGACAGTGGGAAAATTGCAATCTTCAAGTTTGTCCTACATCCTAGTGTGAAGTCGTCAACCAAAGTTAATTTCAATTAAATTTATTTGAAGCAGACCTTCTAGTTTCGGTAGTATCCTAAATGTCAAGTTCATTGGTATATGTGAAATGCAAGTAATTGCTACTGAAATATAGGTTATTGGAGCTGGGTTATTGAGTGACAGGACGTTATCTATATTTGAATGTGAAATTAAATAACTTGGAATGTATGAATTCTGCTGGAAATTAAATATGTGTCACTGGATGTTAAGCATCTGAAAGTGAGAGATATATAAATACGTAGAAACGTTGGAGCTTTATGACCAAAATGAACCTATAATGAATATTCAAATTCATCTAAGGTCAACTTTGCCTTAGGGATTTTGAATTTTAGTTTTTTTGAATTTCTTATTTTATCAACGGGGAATTTGAAGGAAATATGCTATAAATGATGCCACTATACCGAATCACTGACTACTGAATTGACAACACTCTCGGTGAATTAGCAGTCCACCAACAGTGGTATCGACCAAGTGCTAGTGGATACAAATAACACTTTCTAAATCGCGTGCGTCCAAAACACCCGCGAGGCATTTTTTGGGATTAACCTTCATCAGAAACGCTCAAACCCAAACATTCGAAAACCAAGGATGTATAAATACGAAGAAACGTCCATCCGCAGCGGATACATTTTTTTTTCTTACCGAATGCTTTCAGATTAAAAAAAAATATTTAAAAATATGTCATGTCAAGATACAAAACATAAAAGATAATTCAAGCAGCATTATTATATGATTGAATGACATGAGTAATCTCCCATTATAATTTAAAATCTTTAATTTTCTTTTAAATCCAAAGAGTTTTAATGTAACAGCTTAGAATCAAATAACATAGATTTCTTCAATCTAAATGATTTTGTACTAATATAAACTCATCATAGTTACCAGGACTAAAATTTTGTAAGCCAGATGCGCGTTTCGTCTACAATGACAGTGACGCTCGAATAAAAAAAGTCAAAAGGCAAAATAAAGTACGAAATTGAATAGCATTGAGGACCCAAAATTCCGAAAGGTTTTGCTAAATAAAGCTAAGGTAATCTATTCCTGGGGTAGAAAATCCTTAGTATTTCTAAAAAATTCTCTTGTAAACAGTTAATCTATAATTATGACTCTATCAATGATAATTCATGTCAACACTGAAGTACTGACTACTGGGCTTAATACTTCACTTCTGTATCTATTTTCTTAATTTATAAGAATTATTCTCGATCTAAGATCTTAGAATACTACCATCCTTATTTGAAAAACAAATTAAACAAAACACAATATCATTCAGTTGATTTTACCACTCACATGTAGATATTTTTCCAAGTAAGTATTCCCTTTCGTAATTAAATAACGCGCTTAGTGTTGTAAATAAAAATAAGTCTTTCGTTTTCATGTTTTTCCGATTGTCAAATTCTGACGAGCATAGATGTCCGCTAGAACTGCATACATTCATTGCACCTGAAAAAAAAATAAAAGTTTTTCTTTAATCAATAGGGAGAAAAATGATTTTAGAGTATATTGATATGATGTACAGATATATAAAAATGTAAATCAATTATTATGAAATGTTAGCAAAATTTTCGTTCAATGCCAGACATGCATCACACAAACGTTATCAACTACCTATTATTGATGTTGGTCACTGGAGTTCAAGAGCTGATAGCCCTCCATTAAATACAACATCGTTAAATGAATAAATATATGCTTTACAAACTAACAAAGTTAACTGACCCATTCCAGACATTGTGTATTATAAATATCTACTATCCTGATGGTCCTGTGGTAGGATGTTCGCCTCGAATGTGGAATGTGGATGGGACCAATATTTAAATTCCATGTAATAGTCCCAGAATGTGGTTAGTTTGATCGTCTTGAATATAATTATTCATGTAAAATTTTCTGCTGGCCGTTTAACGCAGAACATACTTGAAATGACAATGTCCATCCAAATGGTATATCTAATTATTTCATAGACAACTGTAGGAACGCCAAGTACAATTCTTCATACTTTCAACAAGAAATTCCTTTTCCGAGATTTCTGTTTGATTCAACAATTTTACATTTCTTTTCAATTTCTGATATGGTCTGTTTCTATTATTGTTCTATTCAAATCCATACCAGACGTATAAAACATGCTTATAAACGAATTTGAAGGCAAATAAATCGTTTATTTTTTAAAATTAAAATAAAAAAAAACCAGATAACTGTTGAGCTATTTATTTTTCGAAAAACTAAGGATTTTCTTATCCCAGGTATAGATTACCTTAGCCGTATTTGGCACAACTTTTTGGAATTTTGGATCCTCAATGCTCTTCAACTTTGTACTTGTTTGGCTTTTTAACTATTTTGATATGAGCGTCACTGATGAGTCTTATGTAGACGAAACGCGCGTCTGGCGTACTAAATTATAATCCTGGTACCTTTGATAACTATCTATATATGAATAACGTTTGTATGATGAATGTGGGACGTTGAAAAGTATAACAATAATCATGCATTACCTTTTGAACTTCTTGCATTAAACCATGTCAAAACTGCTTCAACCCAGTAAGTTAGCACTGTTTGTGGTTGAACATTCCAAACATCTTTCGTTTTGTTCATATTGTCTTCCAACTGAAAAAAAGAAGAAATGGACGAAAAGGAAACACTACAGAAATAGCTTATTAGTTGTCTTTTTTTTAATATTAAATAACCCATTTATTTCCCTTAAAATTCGATTAAAAAAATGTTGTATTACTATTGCAAGGAATTTTGTTATCTATCGATTATCAAAACAACATGAAACATCTTCGGATTTTTTACCGATCTGACTACCCAGAAGGGTCTTACACGGGCGCTGCATAAACAATTTGACTGTGTTGTCCACTTTTCCAAAAAAACAAAAAAAGAAATATACTAGGACATGTTTAGAAGAAAATATCATCTAGTAAATCATTGCCCGAAACTGACTTTTTTGTACACTTGTAGTCCTGCGGTTCACAAGAATTAGCATTAATTATTACGTTTCTACTTTTGAATTATATATATAGAGAGAGAGAGAGAGAGAGAGAGAGAGAGAGAGAGAGAGAGAGAGAGAGAGGTCTATAAAAAGGACCAACCAGCAAATTTAATATGTACCGGATCGTCTAGAATAGACGATACTGCGCAGATAAGGAAAAAAAAATATAAGTCTAAAGATTTGCACAACGGTACTAATAAAAGATGGTAATATACGAAGATGATGTTATAATATATATATATATATAAGAACGTCTAAACAAGTGACAACTCTACGACAGATCCATCCATTGGATCACCAGTGAAGGTGATGAACGGCTGAAAACACATTTTATATTCATAATTATTCTAAATATCAGCACAACTTTTTAAGGACTTTGATATATATATATATTAAAGTACTTAAAAAATTAAAAGATACTGACTTTAAAAAAAAAATGAAACTCGATATGAGTCAACCCGGAAAATGTTTGAACGAATGTAATTAAGAGGTAAACCACACGTATAAAAGTTAGGAAGATCAAGGATTTATATAGTAACAGTAAGAATAATAAAATATCTTACTATATAAATCCTTGGTAAGATGGACACATTCTTAAAGTCTTTTCAGTTATTCGGACAATTCGAACTGTTCCTTTGAATAAACTTATATTCTTAAAGGATATCAATTTAACCCCGTAGTAAGATCTTAAAATATTGTTTTTATCGGTACTTACATTGATTTTACTTTTGATTAGTTAACACATAACTAAATATGTATTGCTATATAGTTATGAAAACTTATGATCCTATACATTCTGTCGATATTATGTACTCATATTTTGGCATTGCACAAGGTCATGCTTTTCTCACACTGTGTATGATGTCCTTACACTAAATCCAATAAATGTATACTGGTTGATACTTTAGTATGAGAAAATGATTTATTTATGAGTTGTAGTTGGCTTTGAACTAAGTTTCAAGAACAATGTGTACTCTTTGATCTATTCTTTCTGTCTTTTTTCTTTTTGTTACTTGTTTTCTGTGCTTCGTCCCGATCTGATGAGTCAGCAAGCCATTTTAAACTTAAGTTTGCAGTTTTTTTTCTTATGGCGTGCTGTTACATCGTTGACCCAGGTTGGGAGAGGATTAAGCGCTCACAAACATGTTAACCCCGCCACATTCTATATGTGTCTGTCCTACGTCAGAACATGTAATTCAGTTGTTGTCGTTGGTTGCCGTCTGTCATATTTGGATTTTCCCGTTATAAATCAGGACGTTGAATTTTTCGTTTGAATTTTTTACCATTTTGTCATGTCGGGGCCTTCTATAGCTGACTATACGTAATGGGTTTTGCTCATTGTAAAAGGCCGAACTCGGCGTCATTTAGACATTATTGGATAGTTGTCTCATTGGCAATCAAACCACATCTCCGTATTTTACACTCACTGAAAGTACATAAACGCATTTCAATTTGCAAATTATGTTGTATGTGCGTGTTTGATGGAATTTAAACTGTTGAATAATTTCAGCAAGTGCGCATCCATTAATTCTTCATTTGCCATACAATCTTAATTATAACCTTTTGCATGCCTTTAACTTTTCACACTTACTATACTGATTATTTGTGGTGGAAATAAATGTGTAAATATAGATTCTGCAAACGACTTCACAAGGAGATTAACCATCTTGTTCTCTGGATCGTCTTCCCTGCATTCGATGTTGGCATCGACGACAACAACACGCAATCCCGGATAAGCTGAGCTGTTCGCTCTTGGAAGTCCATTATAGCATAAGGAAGAACATTCGTCATTACAGGAAACTAAATCGATAAAAGCAGTATTATAGCAGGAACCATTGTGTGATGTATGGTTCAGTAAGTATCAGAATTAATTGTTGTCGAGATTTGCATAATTTTATTAGAAAAAAGGAGAAAATTAGAATTGTTACATCATAACGTGGGACCAGGATTGTCATCAATGTACTTAAAGTCATAACTTGACATATAGATTTCATATATGAGTTAAAATATTGATTGTGGTTTGTTAAATAGGTCCAGTGGTAAAAAATTCATGCATGTTCAGGACGACAACAAATAAACAATAAACCGTGGTAATAGGTAGGTTCTGTAAGGTAGGGATCGACTGGGATAAAAGAAAGACAAATATCAAATTAAAGAAACATCTTACTTGAACAATTTTATTTCATCATTTCAAAAGTGTAAATCAAAATATAACTTTTATCTCAGTGAAATGGACAACTACATGAAGTATTTGACATTGGATAGTAAGCAGCCAATCGTCACTCAATTTTTATTGTACCTCCTCAGTAAGAGATACGTGAGCTTGATCTATATGAAAACAAGAGGTTTATGCATGGAATAACAGGAAACTTACCACATTTTTTATACATGTATAGGTATGTACTATTCACATTCAGCGATCGTAAAGTTAGACGTGTACATGATGTATTTTTTTTTCATTTAAATGTTTTGGACTTTGTATGTTTTTTGTTTTTTGGTCGTCAGTTGGTCGTTATTTTGTCTGTCCTCCCTTTTTATTTATACGTTCATGCAACATTTTGAACACCACTCATGTAGTGTAATTTTGTATGTCAAACCGCATATTGTAGAATAAGAGTTAGTCTGTCTTTCAAATATGGATGCATTCACAATAAAATATTTGTAAAAACAACTTACATTTACATTCATCCGAAACAGCATGGTCCGGGAATGCATCTGTTAACAGTTCGTTTGAACTAAAGATACCAAAACTGACTTCTGAAACTCGTTCTAGTGTGTCATGTGCCATGAATCGTATCATAAGTTGAATTAGCTTTGATGTCTGAAATAATTTACTTCAAAGTTAAATTAAATCGGTACAGATAAGTTATCTAATTCTAATTATTCATTTATTATTTATTTGTTCCCCCAATTGTCTTTAAACTACGAAAACCGAAATACCCGCTTGCCAACGGACTTCAAAATATTTCATGCAAATTTTGACAACTTCTAGCTTGAACATCTTGTTATAATTTGAGTGATACCTACTACTTTTACTGAGTGTTGTAGTAGCTGTTTCTTGTGTCAGGCAACTGTATTATAAGGGGAATTTTCACGATAATGAAATACCCCATCATTCTGTCCTGAAAATATTCTTATCAATAGATATAAGAAGATGTGGTATGAGTGCCAATGAGACAACTCTCCATCCAAGTCACAATTTGTAAAAGTAAACCATTATAGGTCAAAGTAAAGCCTTCAACACGGAGCCTTGGTTCACACCGAACAGCAAGCTATAAAGGGCCCCAAAATGACTAGTGTAAAACCATTCAAACAGGAAAACAAACGGTCTAATCTATATAAAAAACGAGAAACGAGAAACAAGTCAACAGTATGACGATATGAGTTGCATCGTTGTCGGAATGTAATCATTAGAAGAGACGCACCTATTCTTGCTCCATTTCAATTAGTGCGATTCCCTCAGTGTTGTTAACTTGGTTTGAAAATGATGTACGAGTTTCAAACATTATTAATTACTATTGCCTCATATTTAAAATATCTGCTTTATTCTGAAACAGCAAAATATATTTATTTTCGATCAAACACCTCTTTCAGCTTTTTTATTTCGAATATTTTTACCATTCCGTTAATTGCAAAATAAAAAAAAGACTATTAATAATCGTTGTTCAATTACGAACGACGGAAATCAAAGATAGCTGAAGTAAAAAGCTACATTAATAATACTTTATACTCCTCAATTCATGATCGTCGTCTTTTGTACAGTTTGATAGTTTATGTTACAAACCTTAAAAAGTGTTGAATCTTGAACTGACTGAGTTCCAGCAAGTTCGAATGAAATTCCGGCAGGTTTCGTGCCATTACTGGAGAATGTGATGCTGCAAGGCTTTATCCAGGCTAGTTTATAGTTCACATGGGAGTCTCGTCTGTAACGATTGCTGGCGGATTCCAAACGATAGGACTTAAACGAAAAGCTGGAACCATAGATGCCCGATAAATTACACAGATTGAAAATGTGAACCATCCATATAATACCCGCCGCCATCTTAAAACGACGTTTTCTCCAATTAAAACAATTTTAAAGTTAATTGATTTGCACAAGAAACAAATAGAAGTTTTTTAAAAAGTTTTGGTTCAAGTTAAAGTGAAATGTAATTAAAATGCGAATATACTACCGGTGTTTAGGAAACATAAATCAAAAGATAAAAATCATTTAATTGTTCTTTTTAAAATAGTGTCTTGGTTTGTAGTTATGATTGAATTGTTTGAATTTAAATAGGTCAAAACTCCAAACTGCAATGTTTTGTTGAATGAGTACATGGCTTTCTTTACTATGTAGAAGAAAGGCGTCATATTAGTGTGTTGAATACTATATGTTGATCTATATATTTGTTTTTGGTTATTTGTCTATTTAGGTTGTGATGTGTTTTTATTATACCTCATATCTCATTATTCATTGATAGATATTCTGAAGTCCATTGAGATAAATGAAAAATATGACATAAATGCTACCATCACAGGACTGGAAAAACAAAATATTTATGAAATCGTTAGATTGCAATTTAATTTGAAGACGTAAGGGTATATGTTATTCTTAATTTTGACTTTTGAATCTAAAGATTTTATAATCGAGTGTGTGTGAATAAAAAAAGAGTTGTAAAAATGTTGAATTCTTTTAAAAAGTACTAGTATATCAGAAGCGAAAAAAGAAAGAGCAGACATGACGAAAAGGTATGATAAGGCCATTCTTTTGACACCTAGAATTCGAAAATCAAAAACTGTTTTATATTTACCAAATAACCTCCTTCATATGTTCATAAAAACTCATGAAAGATACCAGGCTTATTATTTGGTATGTCAGATGAGCGTTTCGTCTACATAAGACTAACCAATGGCGTTTGAATCTAAACAGTTGCAAAGCCCAATCAAATATGACGAAGTTGAAGAGCATCAAGTATCGAAAATTCCGAAAAGTTGTGCCAAATACGGCTAAGGCAATCTATACCTGGGAATAGAAAAACTCATTTTTTAATATTACAAAATTTTATAAATAGTAAATTTATATCAAAAATATATCAATACTATACCATCGGGGACGAAACGTCCACCAGTCCACCAGCAGTAGCATCGACCCAGTGGTTGTAAAAACTCATCAAAGATACCAGATTTAATTTGGTACGCCAGACACTACTCTGCCAGACATTAGTATCTATATTTATATTTTCATCTAATATGTTTTCACTAGGGTCTCAAACATCTTGCATTTAACGTAAAACAATAAAAACTGGTCATTGATATATAGATATGTGCCTACGGTTTACCAAAAAAAAAAGTTATTTTGGGAGAAGATGTATTTTACAGAGATGTTAATGTTTGTAAAATATCTTTTTTGATAAAGCCTTGGTCATAATTAAATCTACAAAAAGAAACTAAGTGTAAAATTCCCATTTTATGTCAAATATGTCAATTTCAACATGTTTATGACATCATCACCGACCTTTTATGCACAATTAATTGTCAAGATTATATTAAGCTGTTCATTTATAAATAAAACCAATATATTTTTGAAAAGACTGATTTTTTTTCATTGCAATTTCCGGGGCCAAATAATGCTTCTTATCATATCTCCTCCTTTGCCTTAACAATTCGTGTTAATCTTCACAATACACGGAACGAGCAAAATGTATAGAGAATACATGATGTATAAAATATTAGAATTTTAACAATAAGGTGATTACCCCTTAAAGATTCGGAATGGGTGACTTTTTGAGAAAGACAACTAAGTGACATTTGTTTTAATCTCAATCTCTGTCCTGGACTAAATGTAATAATCAGAATCAAGCAATACTTTGGTGGCCTTGCTTTATCTGACCGGAACAAAACTTGATTCATATTATTCATGAGTTAAATTGGATGGATAGTTCCAAAAGTATAAGACAATATGATTTTCAACGGGGCTCAAAGAAAACTTACATGGCATCGATGTCGTCATGAAAATCAGAAAACATGAATCTGTAGAGATAGTCCACCAATCCTGCTTGTATTTTTTTCAAAATCTGTTCGCCAGTCTGTAGGTCCCTTTTGGTCAGAAAGCTTCAAACGTTTGTAGGTACTTATACATACCTAGCTAGACGATTAAGAACATCGGTAAACTATGATTTCATTAGTTGTTATTGGCTTTGAACTAGCTGTCAGTAACTGCGAGTACTCTCAGATCTGTACTTAGTGTCTTTCTGTTGTGTAGATGTATAATTACCCTTCCAAGTCCACTCTGTGTTTTTGTTAGATGTATTTCTATTTGTATCCATCTGATGAGTCAGCCTTTTTCAACTAAATTTTATAGTTTGTTCTTATGTTGTACTGTTACACAACTATCCAAGGTTCATTCTGTATGTGCCTGTCCCAAGTCAAGAGCCTGTAATTCAGTGGTTGTCGTTTGTTGCTGGCTGTGTAATATATTTGTTTTTCGTTCATTATTTTGTACATAAATTAGGCCGTTAGTTTTCTCGTTTGAATTGTTTTACATTTGTCATTTCGGGGCCTTGTATAGCTGACTATGCGGTATGGGCTTTGCTCATTGTTGAAGGCCGTACGATGACCTATAGTTGTTAATTTCTGTGTCATTTGGTCTCTTGTGCAGAGTTGTCTCATTGGCAATCATGCCACATCTTCTTATTTTTTTAATTTTTATACTGTCGACTTTATTTTTCAAATGTTTTGGTTTGAACGTTCCTGGTGAACTATTTCTTTTATGTTTAAATGGGGAATGAATCTTCCTCACAGTAAGCCAACCGAGCGACACGCAACGAGGAATCTTTCACTATAAGTACCCTTTTGAATGCCAACTGTCTGCTGAAAATCCACTAAACTCAACAGTTTTGATGTCGATAAAAAAGTCCACCATTTTGATTATGTTATCTTTGGTGTGATTATTGTGAGAATCAGTTTGGTTATTCATGAACTTAAACAAGGGAAATGTATTCACGTTTCCCTTTTTTGAAGAAAAAGGTTCTGTTAAATGAAACGTTATAGTCGATCTTTAAATTGAGCATTGGGTATAGTAGAATAAAGCGCAGAAAATCAAAGAATTTAAAGTTACTGCAAAATTGTAGACTGTGATTGAAGATTTTCCAACTAGTTCAAGTTCTTTAGTGGGACATATCAAATAATTAATTTTGCATATCAAAACAATATTGTTTGCTGCTTTGCTGCTGGAACAACAACATATGTGTCATGAAGAGAAGATAAAGCGTCCACAACCTCTGGCTTCTTGGAAGATTCAGAAACACGTGCGTCATTTTACATCGTAGATTTTTAAATGCTAGTTGTACACATCACGTATGTTAAAGTTTAAATTAGGGGGGGGACGTTTTGATTATATTTATTTCTTCAAATAATACCTAAAGAATATGTCAATCTCAATGCACATATTATTTACTTTATTTGCTGATTGTTACAGGTAAATGAAGTTCAAAAACAATTATAGAAACAACCAAATTCAAAGTCTTCGTTCAAAGATTGAACAAAACAATTATTTCCGATTTTCCTATTCGATCAAAATAAAATTGAGAATGGAAATGGGAGAAAAGGCCTACATTTTTTCTTTATTTTTCATTTAATAGTATTTTTATTTCCTGTTATTGTACTTTTCTTATTTAAACACAACAATTATTCATTTCCTTTTGAACTACTTCCGTTAAACTATTTCAAAACTTCTTCAACCCAGTAATTCAGTGCTGTTTGTGGTTGAACATTTCATACATCTTCGTTTTGTTAAAATTATCTACCAACTGAATAGGAAACAGGCGAAAAGAAAAATGCCTGCATGTATTATTCATATATATATAGAAATAGCTCAGTTTTATATTTAAAAGAACCGATTTATTCCCCCTAAAATGCGTTTATACGTATGTTTAATTACAAATTGCAAGAACATTTTTTATCTAGCGATTATGAAAGTAGCAAGAAAATACTACGGGAATTTGGAAGACCTTGAAAACTCACAAGAGTCCTGCACCGTCGGCACAAAAGCAGTGTGATTGTGTAAAATTACCAGGACATTTTCAGAAAAGATTCTTTCATGTAGTAAATTATTGTCCAAAAATTCATGTTGTTGAAACTAGAAGTCCTGCATTTTACGAGATACATAGCAATAATTATATATATATTTATATATTAAAATCCCTAAAGATACTCACTTTAAAAAAAATAAGAACCGATATGAGCCAACACAGAAAATGTTTGAAATGTTTAAAAATGTGAATTTAAGATATAAAAGTTAAGTAAAAAAGTATAACAAAAATACCGAACTGCAAGGCAATTTCAAAAAAGGGGAAGTCCATAAAAACTGACAAAAGTGAAAAAAAAATTGATATATTCCTGACTTGGTGCAGGCATTTTCCGAAGAAGATGGTGGAAAATTTTTGGATTCAGTTCAGTTATTTGGACAGATCGAACGGTTTGTCGAAATAAACATATTCTTAAAGGATTTAAATTGAACACCGTAGTAAGATCTAAGAATATGATTTTCATTTGTTCTAGCATTGATTTTGTTTTTGAATGAAACATAACTGAAAATGTATTGTTATCGAGGTTATCCAGTAAACGTAGGAGAGAAAACTAAATTCAAAAGCTTGCTTGTCCCGTGATGGATTATAAAGCAAACGAATTATGGAAGTATATTCCGTTAAAAACGAAAGATACATGCTTCGACACTTTTTGACAACTTTGTTTCGAGGTTCACAGTTTCAGGCTATAAAAAAGCATGGAGTCAATAAAATGCATTGTTACACGGTTCAGAGTGGTAATGAACCTGCCTAATATAATGACATCAAATGAAAAGATGAGATAGGTTTATACTGTCATCTGGAACAGCCCAGCACAAACAACATACATAAATAGACGAATTAACGATAACACCAAATTGTTTCGGAGACAGATGGTTGATAGAAAGACCGAATAATTTTTGCTGAAAACTTCATACATGCATGGTATGTGGCACAACATTCACATTCAGGCATTTTCGGTGGTTTATGCTCTTCAACGTCGTATTTGATTTGGCCTTCAAATGTTTTGATTTGAGTGCCACTGATGAGTGTGGTCTATTTGATGAGTATTGACAATGTATCGTGTGGATAAAATCTTGCATTGTAGGTGGAATAATTACAACCAAAAAGTGAAAAAACAGTAAAAAACGTATGTAAATGGTTTAGAGACTTCTCCAATGATATGTTTGGATAAGATTGTGTCACGAGATAATGATGGAGTGAATACGTCGACACATTTGTGTGCCTGGGAAGCACAATGTCGTTGTGCTATCAGTATGGATTTTTTTATAGTTGTCGCCATTGGTGCACGAAGTATCGCAATTGAAATCTCGAATGAATGTTCTAACGATACATACGCAGATGGCGAAGCGTTTCAAAGAGTTTTAGCAGTTTTGGTTTGTACAGTACATGTGCCAAACTTAAAATATCATTGTCTTATGTTACAAATTAGAGACAGCAGTAGCTTATCGATGCTCATATCTTGTAAATCTATTCAGAATACACAAACGAAGATAAATTACAAAAACTAAATCTGCAAGAACCACATGAACTCCAAACGGAGCGAGACTGGATAAGCCGATAGAAACGGAATCTCCTGATATGGATGCATCAACCAGCCATGCGAATCCATACTCAGAGTAAAAAATGGCACATTAGAGATTAGGACACAAACGTTAAATTTACAGATCAGACAACTATTCCAGTATATAAAGATCTAAGACCGAGAAAACATGTCGCTAGTGAATTGAGACAAACATATTGTATCTATTAAACAATTTAACGGATCAAACTGAAAACAAAATTTTATAAATTGCATGCGTCCAAAGCTCTTTTCTGGATTAACCTTCAACAGGAACTTTCAAAGCCGAATATTTGAAAGCCAATGATGAATATGAACCGAAACAAATGAAGAGCTATCTGACAAAAAAGGCCTAAAAATAATAGCCAAATTCATATAGTAAGAGTTAAAAGAAAAAATCTATTTAGCTGAGGTGACATGGCTAAGGAAGATAGTTTGGATCGTTGGGTTGGTCGGAGAAAAGAATGACATAAGATCAGTTTTTAAATTCAGACAGTGAACGTCGTGCTTGAAATGCCAAATATTAAAGAAGAAGACACTGATAAAATATCCCACTTGTTAGTTGTGACAAGCAAGTAATATCGAACATGATTTATATTTTAGACCACGGGAGCAAAAAAAAACCTGCATACACACATGAAGAAGAGTTAACAATAGTTTACCGATGTTCAACAGATTTGAATGGCCAAGTGCTTTGAGAAATAGAGCCGACATTTGGTGTAGTTGGTTAATAGACTGAGCTAGAAAAGTCGTCAAGGATCGTCAATATCGTCAAAAAAAAAACTGCATACATCTGCGATAATTACACATTATTTTATAGTATTCTCAGCAATTACCAAGAGTGCCTAGCAATGGCCATCGACTAACATATGTATGTTATTGGTAGAAAATCAACATTCTCAAGAGTAGTGTTTAACACCAAACTGGATTTAACAATGTTTCGGTCAAAACCAGCAGACAAATCATTATTTTAGATCTGACGATACCATGAGATACATTTTTTAAAGAAGACATTCAGATAAAAAGAAACTAATACCAAGAACTAGGCAAATATGTCAAACATGATCACAGTGGCATATTTCATTGTCTAAATTGGCTTCACAAACTGCCTAGAAAACAATGGCTCCGTAGGTCATTCAATAGAAGCATGGTTAGAAAAATGAGAAATCGGCTGGTTGGTTTTGGAGAGCTAACTTATCCACCGTATGAACAAACAAAGTAATAATTGACAATAAAAAAGAAAATAGAGATTAACACCATAATCAATATGAAATAGAAAACTTGGACAGTACACATAAACTCCATAGATACCAAGTTTAAACATGTGTACGCCAGACACACATTTCGTCTTCAAGAGACTCATCAGTGACGCTCGAATCATAAAAATTAAAAAGCCAAAATAGATATGCAAGAATAAAATGTTCAGTTAAAATATATAAGAACCATCTATTTCGTTTGGGAATCTTGACGTTTCATGATACGCTAAGGCAAAATGTGATGAAACTTTAAGGAATCACTAATTATAATTTGTTATTGTGTACTGTGCCTATGCTTATCTTAAAATCTGTTTGGTATAGTTTCATTTAAAATTAATAAAAATCTGTTGAATCATTTAGCTGTAGACTACAAGTTATTACTTATGAAGATCATACTGAATTTTGTGAGCTACAAACTAGTCTGCATCTCTTTGAAAACTCCAAGATGGATTGATTATACTTATACTGCATGTTAATGCTTCCAACAAATATTTTTATCCGATTCAAAGGATGAATGTAGTGACTTAAATGGAAGTTATTATATGACTGTCATTGATATGACTTGATAAGATTACATTTGTCCAATTTCTACAAATAAGTAGCAGGTGTTTTTATTTTGTCATATAGCACAAGGTTCTTACACATCTTTGGCTTTCAAATATTCGGCTTTGAGCGTTCCTGATAAAGGTATATCCAGAAAAGGGCTTCGAGACATGAAATTTATAAAGTGTTGTTTCAATTTTTTTTAAAACTTTGAAAAACTAACAAATTATAATCGTGGTGACGATAGTTCTTTTGAATCTTTGGACAAAAGGCAACTTAAAAATAAACAAATTGAGGTAGTTTGCTGTGTATATAGTACACATTGTAGGCTGCCAATGTTTCTTTGGTTTTGTTTTATATCAAATCCATGAATGTAAATATCCAATAAAATGCATATTTTTCACTGTTTTCATTTTCATTTACACTCTGAAACCATTATATGTAAAACCCTTTGATTATATTTTGAACATAATAACAGATTATCTTTCTTATAATAAATTAAAGTATTTTCATAATAGTTTTAAAGTTGTCATGTAAAAGTAATGACTTCAGCCTTAAACAGTTGGTTGAAACATACAGATTTTATTTGAAATCATAGCTTAACATATGGTATGGGTTAAAATGGTTTTGCTCATTGTTAAAGGCTTCTGCCTGGTAATATTCTCATCTATGTTTTTTGTTGTATGGATAGTTGTGTCACTGGCAATCATACCACTGTTAGTATTTTTATATTAACATGTTCTCCTTCCTTACTATTCACTGGTCATTCTTTTACTAAGACATAATCAAACTGAAAATTGATGTAAAAAAGGGGCAGAAGATACTGGAGGGATATTCAAACTTATTAGTCTATTACAAACTGACAAAGCCATGGCAAAAAACGACCAAAAGAGTAACAACAGTATACAAAACATAACTTAAATTAATAGGCTAACCAACACGAAACCCCACCAAAAACAGATGGTGATCTCAGGTGCTCCAGAAGGGTATAATCTGCTCCACATGCGGCATCATTTGTGTTGCTCATGTCAGTTCAAACTCTGTGATAAGTCTAATGCGGTGATGTGACAAACAAAACATTGATAGAAATGAATTGTCAGAGGCATCATATTTAAACAATGAACAAGTTAATAGCTTAGATATTTTTATTTGCATTTAGTACATATTCAACAGAGACTTAACATTTCATATTATATATCTATAGTAAACAATAAATAACTTACAGTAACAAATATATACTTCACAAAAGAAAACAAAGTATACAAAGAGTCACTACCCTTCACATCATAACTTTACTTTTCAACAATACGTCCAGACAAGACTAATTCATTCATATGTCCTAAATCAACTGGAAATCAGTTCTGTTTAGTTCAGAGGAAAAATACTTTTAAGTAAAAAATTCCAATGGAGATTTACACAAATGAACGACATTTCATGTCAATTTCACAGTTCAGGAAACAGACCTGATATAATAACTAAAATAAATGGAAAACAACTAAAAAATAATTTTACAAAATATTTTTTTTTCCATTCAATGTTTTAGAAGAAGTTAATAATTAGGGGAAAAAACACAACTTTACTTGTTATTTGATTAATGCAAAAGATTTAACCATGTTTGTTTTTTTTTAACCCATGTACAATTAATACACTTTCACAACCATTGTCATAACATTAACAATTCCATAATATGCAAAACAAATATTTGATTATTATAAACACCTTAAAAAGTGTTTTGCATTTCATATTATTCATTTCATGCAAATTAATTCACATTTTTCAGAAACTTAATACAGTGCATAAAAGCAAATTGCTTTCATGTTTTTCTTATACAGCTATTTTAGACAAATACACTGACTATATTACACTGATTTGCTTAGGTTGAAACATTTTTTTTTCTTGTGGAAAAAGTAAAGGAAATAAATATAATCTTAGCTAATTTTTAAATCTTAAATTGCACAAAAAAAAAATATGATTTAGATCTTGACATTAGAATGCCAAAAAAATAGACAAACCACCTACTTAAACTATGCATTGGTGTTTCGGTAGTTTCTGCTTTGTTATACTTTTTTAGAATTTAAATAAAGAATTATCAAGGGATATTATACAATCAGTATTTTTTTGCATCAACAAATAGACATAATTTCAATACAATATTATTGTATTAGCTCAATATCATATCTCTTTTATAAAAATATCATGCATTAAACACTTTCACAGCCATTCTAAAGTTAAATAAGTTAAATTACATTAGAAATTTACAAATATGCATAGAAATTTTGCAAAAAGTTAATATAAATAGCTATATAAAAAAAATTTCAAGAATATTTTTGTCATACTGATATGGAAAATTTTCAAAATAATTTCCAGCTGTATGTAGCACTACAAAAAAATGGTATTAAAAAGTATAATCAGAAGAAGAACGAAATTTCACACAAAGTCATTACTAAGTTTTATAAATATTAACAGTTAACATTCTTCATAACAATTGCACTTTCTAAAGAATAACATATCACAAATATCTGGACTAGAATGTGGAGAAATTCCTTGTTAGGGGAGGTAACTCTTCAAATAGTAGTCTCATAATGTATGGGACTTGCTGTACTGTTCTTCCCACTATTCAAACTAGACTTGCTAGTACTGTAATCGGGGGATCCTGAAATGAGAAAAAATATTGTTGTTGTTTACAGATGTAAAGCTGATGTGTAAGCATGACAGACAGACAAGTGGCACAAATTGATTTAAGAAACCTAGAAAATAATTCAAGTTACATCACATCTACTGTCTGACATATCAATATGAAATAATTAGTAAGAATTTTAAACAATATACTTCAACTAAAGAACAAATACACCTCATAAAAAGTCGGCATATTTTGGCTTCCACTGCTGCCTTCAGAAATGGTGTGGGTCAGAGTATCAGAGTATATGATCTCCTTAAGTAAAACTTGTAACACTTCAGAGAAAATTTTAGTTAAAATTCCTCGTAGGTTAAATAAAGATATTGCTATATTATAATTTTCTTTGAAAATCCATTAGGAAATGAAAATAAAATGCAATTATAAAGCCATTTATGTCCTAGTACAGAAATTCAATGAATATTTCAGCACAATAAAAAGGGTCAGTTTTATAATAATTGGCTTGTAATGTGTAGGATATTGTCTAATGTACATCTTCATCATATCTCTTTTTTGCTGTTTCATATGCAGTGTGCCCATATCTTTCCTAATTTTAGTGAGGGACATTTGTCTACAAGATGACAACAATAGAATAAAAGTTGGTAATTTTACAATATCAAACATTGTGGTTAAACTATAGTATTTAGTTACCAGCAAGTTTTAAAAAAGACTGTGTGTTGTTTATATTTTATAAATGACTTGTTAATTTATGCTTTACTGCACAGCAAAATTACATACAACTACATTTCCCACATAATTTGTAAAAAATGTATTCTATTTTATTTATAATGGTATTAACTATGTCAGTGTGGTACTATATTAAAGGCATGCTGTGAATCACCATTAAAATTTTTACATATTTTCATTAGAAATTACTAATTCAAATAACATGCTTCAGTAGTTACACATATTTTCTATAAGCATTACACTAAGATTTCTAACTAAAAATCAATTGTTCTTTTGTATGTTGTTTTCATTTTAAATTCATATTAATGGATTATAGATGTAAGTCCAATGATAATGAAAATAAATTATATATAGACTGATCTATTCTATGAAGATTTAAAATAAGTGCACTAAATAATACCAAAGAAATATATGGCATCAAAGGGGTTTTAAAACAAACTGACAAAAAAGCAACAAAGTGTAGCTGAGAAAAATTTAGTTGTATACTTATAAAAATGGTGTTTTTATTTAGAATATATTTGATGTATGATATTTATAGATATAAACAATGACATAAATATTGATGAAAAAAAATTAAAAACTATAATATGAAAATAAAATCAAATTTCTATTAATGAAATAGTTGATTTTATCTTAAAATAGATATTGAATATTGGGCAGTGGCTGCTATTTGAATATTGTTTCAGATGTTTTCGCCTTGTATGTCTTTTTTTAGTGAAAATATTTCTATATCTACTCCTTCATAATTGCCTATATACTTTAGACACTACAATGTGGCAGTTGGTAGAAAAATTTACAAGTTATATGAAAACAAATGTGCCATAAATAATAAATTGATATAGTGTAATGAAATAAAAATTTTATACTTCTAAATTCAAGTATTGCTAATTACAAAAAAATACACACCATGCAATTTAGTGATTACACAAAATATAAGTTATACCTCTGGTGACCACAAAATTTGTTGTCTGAATGGGGTACCTACAGGGATTATACAACAATAAATTAATTCTGAAGAATTAGGTTTACAATAACAATAATGATGAGAGAACAAAGAACAGCCAGAAGTAAAAAAAATCTTTTAAAAAATCCATTGTGCATAAAATCAAAGGGCAAAACATAATTATCCCAACCAATACACAGAAGGGACCATTGTCTTACCAAAGTTAATACTATGAAGGAACAAAAGTATACACATATAATACTATAATTTATAAATTCATCTGGTGACAGTCCATGTAATTTGCCTGAAGACAGTCTATGAAAATGATATATTTTAATGAAAAGCTCTTTAGACCATTTTTTTAACAAGTAGTGCAATGAAATGAAAGGATGAAGAACTCAAATATGGCTAAATTATCAAGCAAGGAGGGATAACTTCTAACCTTTATTGGCACATGATCCATTAAAGCAAGGGGAGATAATTACTTACCTATACTTGAGACAGAGAACTGTGAATTCGATCTAGGTATTGGTTCTAAGTAGTTAGAAGGAGCCCATCCCTCCTTGTGTGTAGTGAGGTGTTTGGCAAACCACCATCCATTAGACCCTGCTCGTAACACTTCGATGAGATCCCCTTCTCTAAATGATAGTTCTGACTGATTACTGGTATGGAAATCTCCAAGTGCTTTGTATCTCTGAAGTAAAAAATACATCTAGGATAAAGAATATCCAATATTTGTTAACTGTATAGTTGTTGTTTTACATGTGACATAATAACATACACTGTAACGTTATAAAAATTGTTGACCAATGTAATTTCTACTGTAAAAACAAAAGTATTGAAAAGTATATTTAAAAAAACAAACATTCCAAGAGTATTGCATGGCAATACATAGTCCCCTACCAGTTAAAAATTATTTGTACTGGAACAAAATGCTAACTTGATCTATAACTTGTCATGATGTAAACTATATAACAAATATCAAGTCAATATCTTCAAACATTACGAAAAAAAGTGAGGAAAACTGATTATTTGAGTGAAATTTCTTAGTCCAAGGACCATAACTCTGCACAAAATTACCAGACTGGAACAAAATTCGAACTTGATCTGTAACTTGTCATGATAAAACTATATACCAATTACCAAATCAATATCTTCAAGCATGACGAAAACAAGTACGGAAAACTGATAATTTGATTGAATTTTCTAAGTCAAAGGACCATAACTCTGCATAAAATCACAGACTGGAAAAAAATTCGAACTTCATCTATAACTTGTCATGATAAAACTGTATACCAATTACCAAAGCAATATCTTCAAGTATGACGAAAAAAAGTGTGGAAAACTGATTATTTGAGTGAATTTTCTAAGTCCAAGGACCATAACTCTGCACAAAATCATCAGACTAAAACAAAATTCGAACTTGATGTGTAACTTGTCATGATAAAACAATACACCAAATATCAAATCAATATCTTCAAGCACAAAGAAAAAAAGTGTGGAAAACTGATTTGCTGGACTGATGGATGGATAGACAGACAGACAGTGCAAACCTAAAGTCCCCTTTGACTTAGTCGGTAGAGGAATAAAAATAGATAAACCTATCTAAGAATTAGTTCTCACAAAAAGAAATCCATAAAAATGAATAGTTGACTTTGCAGCAAATTATTTTCTTGATTTTCTTATTTTCTTGATGTGTTTATATAAGGTAGATTCTTTTTTAACTATTTACAAAAGTCGTGTCAATAAATCAATCACGAAAAGTTGGTTTACAGCAAACATACTACTTACATCATTATATGATGAAGGTGAGTGTGGTTCCCCTATACTTTCTTCATCAGGATTACTACTTGTATACTCTTCCTCTGACCACACCCCATCATGACCAGTAGGGGTTGGAGATTCAGGAGATCTCATCTCTATTCCTACTGGCAATGTTGATGTGTTGTTATTCAATAGATGTTGATTTCTCCAGTTGTCTACTAAGTTACTACTGAAATAAAAAAAATAAGAAATAAGAATATTTGAAAAAAATAATACCAAATCCAACCAGTTGATTGTTCTAAACATTTAAAATTACTTTAAAGGTACAAATTTGCTGCACCAGATGCATATAAATTAAAATGAAAGCAATGATAATTATCAAGGTCTAAATTTTTTAATGTCTACTTTTTGAGATTACACGAGTTTTCATGCATATTTCAAACACAAAAATGTTAAAATGAGAAACAAATTAATCCTTTTCAATCAATTACCCTTTGTACCTGTATGTTATTTTAATGTGAGTTTATTCGTGTAAATCAATAGAAAATGATGTTTTAGGTATAAAAAGGTATAATATCAGTATATATATACTTACTTTGAGTATTTAGTTTCCTGATCTGTGATTGATACAAGATTTTCTTGTGACTGTCTCAAGGTCTTTTGCGTGACTACAAAGAAAAATTATGTGGTTAAGATAAGTTTTCTATTAAACTAATATTACTTGTGATGCGTCGAGTGATCCAACACCTTCTAACGGTACAAGCTGGTAGAGTAATAAGGATGGATACCCGAAAGTATGCTGTGGTTGTCTTAAAACCTCGGGAAAATAATGATACACAAAGACAACAACATCCTTGATTACTGCAAATTCTTTATTCTGGTCTACATGTAGACCAGAATAAAGAATTTGCAGTAATCTAGAATGTTGTTGTCTTTGTGTATCATTATTTTCCCAAGGTTTTAAGACAACCACAACATACTGCAAGGAAATTCTTTATTCTGGTCTACATGTAGACCAGAATAAAGAATTTGCAGTAATCAAGGATGTTGTTGTCTTTGTGTATCATTAATATTACTTGTGTTTTATTTCCATTAAATTTGTACCTTTAAAATCATTGTGATTGGATAATTTTTAGAAGAAAGATATATTTAACATTTAATAATTGTGAATAATGTACTAAAAAAATAATTGTGAAATGGTAAGAGCATATGCAATATATATGTAACTACAAGTATGCTGTAAAAATTAACAATTTAAAATATACTCATTAATTCAATAACTGCTAATATGAGATTCCAGTATAGAATATGTGACAATGATATAATTAGACTGCTTACCTTTAAGTTTGTCAAACTGACTCATAAGTACTTTTTTGATTTCTTTCACCCACATGTCTTTACAATTCATATTGGGTGCCTGAAATGAAATGTAAGATGTTTCAATTCAACAACTCTATTCTCATGGGTTTAACTTAAAGAAGAAAATTTCTTGTCTTCAATTCTAAAAATCAAAAGCTAAAAATATTTGGTACACATTGGTAAAACTACATAAGAAAGCACCAGCAAAACAAACATTTGAAGAAGTAGGAAATCACCTAACATAACAAACTCTAGATCAAGGAACAAGGATGTACATTTTCTAGACTAAAATGTTCTTTTAATATGTATTTTCACTTCTTATAAAAGCCTTTCATTGGCTTTGGCTTTGGATGATGTATCACATGTACAGATTAGGACGGTTAACACCACTACACATATCATCATGATATGTAATATTCAACACCCCGAAAGAATTGTTATTTTTCGAATGTTTTTCCCAATTTTTTCAATAAATAAAATTCATTAACATTCAAAGTGATGCAAAGAAAGTGGTATTTATCACCCACAACTAACCTGTATTATATAGACTTCTTCTCTGCCTCTCAACCATAACTCAAACCTCTTCTTATCTCCCTTTACATTTTCTGTTAACCCAACCTGGACCATCTAGAAATATAAATTCTGACATTTAAAATCTATACTTTACGATTGATAATGTTAATTTAGATTTTTAATTACTGTACAGAGTATATTTTATTTTGTATATAAAATCACAGGTACACATATTTCAATCTTCAATTGTTTAATCGTATGAAGGTTTTTATCTGTTTTTAAATTTTGTCTTATAATAAAAAAAGTCATATTGTTTAACATTTTAGGAACACATCTGTTAAGCAATCTGTTTATAATCTTCATTTATACAGTAGATATCTACATTTTTTCAGAATACATAAGCTGAATTTTTTTATTGGTTGAAATATATGCCATGTGATGTTACAAACTTTCATATCTTATGAAAACTGGTTACCATGTTGAGACATATGGTACTATTGATAATGGTAAACACTGAACATATCCTTCAAATTTTTACCAACACTATCAGCCATTTATTATCATTATTCTATTTCCTTGTTATATTGATATTCCCTTAAATCATAAAAGTTGATTGTAGATTTTGTAAGTTTCAACAGATAAGGAAGCAAGTGACATAGTACGTGCTTAAGCATGAAAATCTTTCATGTCTAATGTTTTAAATGTGCTACACCACTTGCATTCAAATTGTTTAAAATAGGACAAACCTGCATAAAATTTTTATAAAATATTACCTGTAAGAGATTCTTAAAAACATAAACTCCTTTATCAACACCCGTCGGAGATTCTTCTTTCTTTTTACACAGTAATATGGATTTTTCATATAAGAACACATGTCTATGCATTGGTTTAAATCTAAGATCCTTAATTCTTCCTCGATGATGTTCTGTAAATACGCAAAAGCTGCCCTGCATGAGTAATCTACCCTGGTCAGAAATATTACCCTGAAAATGGAAAAGATAAACATTATCATACAAACTTCTACTTATTTACTCTTGTATTAACTTTATCATTGTTGAATTCTTGAAATTAGAGAAAAGAAGACAAATTGCACTTCTATAAAAGTAGCTAGAATATGGAATAACAAATGTATAAAGTTTCATGGAATCTTGTCTAAACTGAATCTATGTGGTACTGACGATTTTGTGGAGATTATACATACAGGTATGTTTAATTTACACAGGATTTTTTCTGTATGTCAAGATACAATAGTTCAGTTTAGACTGGTTTCCAATGTATGCAGGTTTCATTTTGACAGGTTACTTTTACTATGATGTTGTCATATTATAGTTCTAAATTTTACTAAGGACATCGCAACCAATAATAAAATGATTATAAAAAAGATTCATGCATTTTTCATGTAAATGGTTCACACGCAAGAAAAATAAACTTGAAAGAAATACATTTGTTTTTATTTGTACTTTAAAAGTGATCAATAAATAAAACTTACCGGAAAATTAACAATTGAGACTTGATGTAAACTGTCATTGACATATCGTACTACAGCTAACATACAGTCTAATGCCTCCTGTAACTGTGTCTCACAGGCTTTGTCATGGTCAGTAAACCGTAACATTTCCTGAATATAAAATAACAAGATAGAGGGTATCCATGGAATCATTTTTTATTCTAATGATATTTTAATATTTCCTCTATTCATTATCTGTAATAACTTCAAACAAGTTTATGCTTTATTTGAGGACTATTAGCTGCAAAACAGAAAATTTCCCTCGACTTAAAATATGTATTTATTCTATTTATTTTGTATTTATTAACTCCTATTTGTTGAAATCATTAAAAAATAGAAATATAACATTCAAATGTTAAGTTATATACATAATGACAAACAAACATTGAACTTACCTTAAGTAATAACTGGTATTTTGTGATTCTTTGTACAGGTTTCAGTAAATATGCCCCTAATGGTAATTTATGCCCTAATCGTTTTTGACATTCCTGTAGAGAAGCAAAATATACAAATCAATTGATAAAATTACAATTTAAAAAAGTCACAGAAATTTGGAAGTCTTTAGAAAATAAAGAAAGAGATATATTATGATTTGTTCTTGAATTATCTCCCTTGTCACAATTTACAAATATTTTTCCTAAATTGTCTCCCTTAGACTACTTACCATAAAAAATGGATTCTGATCACCAATGGTATTGCGTAGTTCCTCAGACCTGTGTTTATTTTGGCAGTAAATACTATATAAGTGAAATTCTTCTTTCTAAAAGAAATAGTGACAAAATATTACTCTTGATGTTTAATGTTTGAAATAAATCTCATTTCAATCATTTGAACTCTATGAAATGACACCACTCATGGAAGTTTTAATACTGATACTGTAAACAATTCATATATTTTGTGTTTAACTATTCCCATAACTGTAATTGGTATACTATTTTCCATGAGTTTCATATTGATATACAGTATGTTCTTGTATAACCTTTCAATTTCAACAGTTTGCATTTGTATGGGATTTGTTTTAAATTGCTCATCTCTTTTTATCTTCTGAATTTAAAAGTTTATTTTAAAATTCCAAGCATTTTCTCCAGAGTCTTACTGATTAATTCATTTTAAAATAAATCCCTCTTACTCACCCTATTAGCAAAGCATTTTCCTACTTTTGCTGGTGCATCTCGGCAGTTTTCCAACTCATGTAAAAATACACTGAAAAAGATTTTAAAAAGTTATGTTTAATAATATTCCAATCATATCAAATTTGGAGGTCTTCCCATCCTTTCTTATGGAGTTCTACAAATGTTTTATTGATGCCTTTAGTTCATTTACATGTATTGGGCAACAGGACAAAAGTTCATGGTACAGTGCCATTTCCTATTTTCATTAAACAAAATAATAAAGAAGTATTTTTATTAATCTAGATACTTTAACCATGCTTATATCTCATTTTTTATATGTTTGCATATTTTCAGCATTACACTTTTTGCCTACTGCTTTTTGTTTGTCCGCCTTTGTACCACTGTGACATGCTGTGTCTCATTTTTAATATGCAGATCACAAGGTTCACAGAAAGACTCTGAGCTAACTTGTCGTTGCTGATACTCTTTAATGCACCTGTTTGTTGCAGAAGAATTAGGTGGTGAAAATAAGTTAGAACTACACAATGACTTACTTTCTATGAAAATCAAAAATTTGCTCTAAATTTCCAAACAAGACATCTTTCTTGCCATTTAACTGGTCTGGTATCATATTTCTGAATGCTGGGTTATCCATTTGTTGGAAATATCCCTAAAAAGTAAAAGTAGAATAATCTTTATATCATATATTGGTAATGATTTCTTAAAAATGAATGAAAGTGTTCATCAATGTACAAGTCTTCTGAAGACTCAAACAGAATTTGGCAAAACTATGAAATCACGAATCTGTAAAAATACAATTTTTCCTCAATCAAAGAATACAGATACCCACAAAAAAACATGGGGTTTTTGGTGTGTGTGGTGGTAGTGGGGATTGAGGGAGGGAAAAAATATTTGACCCTCTAGACTCTTTGAGGGAATTCTTCTAAGGGTCAACTGATCTTAACTTTGTCATAAAATGACTGAAAAAAATTTCTGGGTTGCTCAGTAATAATGAAATCAATAAATTATATTTGATCATGATTTTGGATATGAACAAAACTTAAGCATATCAAAAGCTTTTTTTATTGTTTTTTCAGATTTCAGAAACAAACTATTTGACCAAGAATCTGCAACTGAAGTAAAATTTTTTACAAGGTTTTGGAGCTCAAGTCTGAACCATTCCTCACATACATTGAACTCATAGACATTCTTAAGAAGAAATAAAATAAAGAATAAGATAACCCATAGATAAAACAGGACAAAAATAAAATTCAAAATACCAAATGTCTATAAACTTAATAAAATTGTAGGGGATCAGTTAAATCGGCATCCGTTTAATTTATCAGGTAGCTTATCTCAATTATAGAATTTCCTGTTAACATTTGTTATCAGAGTTTACCTCGTCCCCTCACCTGTGCTTATATCTTTTACCTATCTCTGCAGGTGTATCAGAAGATAGTAATTCATAATATAGATACAGTAATCTAACTTCGTATTTTGAAAAGGGGTCTTGGTTGTTTACATAAAATCCATTGTAGGATATTTAGATTTCAAAGCTTAAAACAGTTCATGTATATTTATTGCTTTTAATGACCTTTTCTTAAGATGAATTACTTGAGGCTATAAAATTTAGAAAGACAAATACCAGTACTTTATTCATAATGTCCCATAAAAAGATTGTTTATTAAGCTCAACTTTGATTGATATCATTAAAAAGGAATGCTTAATGATGTTAGTTTTGAATTTAAATTATTATTGCTGTGTGGTAGATTGAATTTTTGTCATACCTGCACTATATCTTCTAATTGTGCAACATATGTCTTTTCTGTTTCTATTAGTTCATTCAACACATGTCTGTAAATAAAATAAAAATTTTATGGATCATGAGTTTTAAATATTGATTTGGCAAACTTTTTGTAAATTGAATCTATAATTATACTACAATGTGTAAATTATTCAAATTTTCTATATTTATGTAGAAACAGCTGTCTACAAAGCAATATCCAAAATCTATTTACATAATAAATCCTTTTGGTTGTAAATTTTTCCTCATTACATAAAAAGATGTGGATTTCATTGATGATGAATTTTAAGACGATTGTAAAACATGAGATATTCTGATCATTTTTACCCACCACCAGGTCATATTGGTGTACAAAGCAAATAAAACATCATATAACAAAGGTTCCAGCTTACATGAACCATATAAATCCGCTGAATTTGCAATACAGTATCAACATTATCTAATATGATTTTACAGCAAGATGAAGAACCTAAAAAAAGGCACTGTTTTGGGTTTTTCTTGGGTACTTGTTTCCAAGCTGCATATGAGGAATCTCATTTAATGAAAGGAATTACTACACTCCCCCCATTACTCTAATCCCTAATGTTTACAGTCAAGATGACCTGTGAAAGAACAAATTGCCTTGTACCAAAGGAGAAGTTAGGATGCTCTATGTGTATCTGTTCTGTTATATGAAAATTCTAAATTTCATATTTCAAACAGAGTTTGACAGAAATTAATCTTAGTTTTATCCACATCAAAATGCTAGGAAACAAATATGTACCATGTTGTGTTACAAACAGTTTAATCCTCGCTTTAACTTTTTATTTACAGTCAGTTCAAAGATCCTTAGTCTAAGTACAGAATGCCTGTGTATCCTAAGAGAATGACCTCTAACCCTGGCCTCACACAAATTATATGCCACTTTACAAGACAGCATGTAAACACTTATTACTTAATTTTGATGTAAAAATATATTTTTGCCATCAACATATTCTTTCTGATAAGTATTTGATATGGTTTCCAACGAATATTTACATAAAGATTTCTTTATCAGTTTTTAATAAGTAAGTAAACAACTTAAAGTTAGATTTTAAAGGACGACATACCTTCGTTTGGCTAACAAAGTATCATTTTCTGATAATGATGATACGGAAGACACTGTTGTCGACATCGAGGAGCAAGAACTTCTCGTTTTCTCACTACCAGTGTCAGAAATATTTCCTACACTATTTGAAATATATTGCTGATGTGAAGGATACACGTCTGTTCTTACCTGAAAATAAAAGACATTTATTGGTATATAGAAATTTCAATTTCCTGAAATCATGAATCATTAGAAACACCTAAGAGAAACACCATCTTAGTTTAAAATCAATGTTTTCAAATAAATTGGAGGTGATATTTTTGATAAATATGGTTTAACAGAACTCTGTTTGCAATACAAATATAGATATTCATTTTCTTGTCTTTTCCTGTTTGGTATTAAGCTACATCATAGGCAATCTCCGGATTTTTTTAATGCCAGATTGAAAATAAACACATATGTACTAGCAAAACTAATTTGAACTTGTAAATTAAAGACAGAGAGCCTATATATTTGTTGCTGAATCATTTACTACTTTGTATTTTTCTTTTGGGTATACTTGTAGTAATGTCAACTTATTATCCTAAGTCAAAGGTTTACACTTGATGATTAATACTGCCTTAGGTATAAGTATACAACAAACTACTATAAATTTAAATAGTATTACAGTCATTTGTTTTTATTAAAGATTACAGTTTTAGGGCAAAAATAACAAGTTTCCAATTTATTGGTTAATTTAGATCTATCATATATTCAGTGACATAAATAGGTGAATAAATATTTAGGGCAAATAACAGTTTTATCTTAATTGAATATTAAGTCCATTTTAAAATTACACGTACTGTTTGACTTACAATTTTGCAAATAAAATCACCTAAATGAAGAGAAAAGTGTGTCCTTAATAGAAAAATCTTTGTTAATGAAAGATATATTTATACAGTGCCCACTATAGGCAGTGATTTACCATCTAGAGATGTCTGAACAAAGACAGATTTGACAGAATAAGGATGAAAAAGATTAAAAAACCAAAAAAACAACTCTCATTTTAAAAGTTTTTAAAAAGTTTTTAAAACATTTAAACAGTACACACCCTGGCAGACTTTTCATAGATATTATTAGGTCTACGACTGTTCCGTAATGGATCAGGTTCTGGAGGTGGATGTGTTGGAGCAGGATGAACTTGTCTTACTACTCTTAACAATGCCTCCTTCCTCTTGGCACACATCCCTGTAACATCTTCTATTCTCTTTAGTACTTTCTGAACAGCGACCTAGAAAGTACAAAATATTTATCATACTTATAGCACATTTGAAAGATGAATCTTACTTTATAAGTTTGAAAAAATAAAATAAAGAACGAAGTAGAGACAAAAATACTTCTCAATTGACTGATAACCAAAGGTTAATATAAAAGTCAAATAAATAAAGTCTAAAATTTAAGGACATTGTTCAATATAGTTTATACCTCTAGTCTGACACCATAAGTATCAGTATGTTAAGTTTTTCTTGTAATCATATAAAGTAGATATAAATAACTTAAAAGTAATTATAAATTCACTGGTAGTTCCAACTCCTATAAGCTAATTCCTAAATACCAAAAGATGCAAGACTCTAATATAAAAATAAGAAGATGCATATGATTGCCAATAAGACAACTATCCAACCAAGTTAAAATGAAGTTGATGTAAGCAATTAAAGGCAAACGTAGGGCCTTCAACAATGAGAAAAACCCATACTGTATAGTCGGCTTTACAAGGCCCCAACATGAAAAATATGAAACAATTCAATTGAGAAAATAATCGGCCTAATTTATAACATAACAATTTACGAAAAACAAATATGACAGACATGAACCAACAACAACCACTGAACTACAGGCTCCTGACATGGGACAGGCACATAAAGAATGTGCTAAGCCAATTTTAAAATCAGTCAACTGAGACCTATCTTACAATTAGAATATTCTGGTAGTATCAGTAATCTACTTCTGTGTTTTATACTCTTGACATATAGCACTGAATGTTTTTGCTACACATTTAAGCAGCATAAGAACTAAGTAGATGTTGACATGCCAATGTCATTAATACTAGTTTAGTTATACAATCATTCTGTTGCTAGATGTAATTTTGTTTCCAAATCATCATTTTTTTCCCCATTAAAAACATTTTTGGATAAAGCAAGAAATATAAATTAGTCAGTACTTTCTCAATTTCATGTTGAAAGTCATTTAATGAAAATATTCAGCTTTAAATTTCCTCTTTCATAGCATTACTAGTCAGCATTTAGACTAATGAATAAAAAGGTACACCAGTAACATCTCTGATATCAAAATTAAAGCATTTTTAAAAGTTTCTTTCAGTTAAACACAAAAAAAATATATTTACTCTAGTATCTGGAGTCATCATGCCCTCAAATAACTGTCTAAATTCTTTAGGATTGTTTAATTTCAGCTCTTTAGCACTGGCCATGAAATTCTCAATCTCTTTCAGAGCAGATTCTGCTTGTAGATGCGTCTGACACTGCTCTGGCTGCCGATTGGCTAAGATGTCTACACCTTTAGTACACCATTTGTTTGCCTGGAAATTCAAAATTTGATTATCATATTAAACTGTAAATTGCTTTGTTCTGTATTTCTTAATGTAACGTTACAGGAAAATGGAAAAAAAATTTGGTTAAATTTTTTACATCATCAGATAAATGATAGGTCAGTTCCGAGTGAAGGTTTATAACTTGTGTAGGAGTATATTTTACAAATTTACTGTTACATTTTGGACTTGTGTAATCACAATGACTTTTCACATCATCAGATGAACAATAAACCATTTAAAGGAGAAAAGACGGGCAGATCCAGAATTTTTAAAAATAGGGAAGGGGTAATTGTTGAAAATTATATAGACAAATATTTTGGAAGATTTTCTGCTAAAAAAAAGATATATTTTCCAATCAAAGGGGGTGTATGCCTTCTCTAAGCCCCTGAATCCACCACTGGAAGAATAAGAACCTAAAGTTGTAATTCCACAGTATTTGAAAATCAATGGACCTAATTTGACCAGTTAGTTAACTAACTCAGGATTCTGTAATTAAAGACATAAACAATTAACCGTGAACTGAAATGCACTGTGACAAATTCATTAAAGATAACATAAGTCAACCATCAAATTATTTATACATCAAATAATTTAAATAATTAACATCATTACAGAACACCTACAAGGAATTACGACAACAATTAGTGCCCTCTTAATGAATGAACAGATCTGACAAACTAAAATATAATTCCTATCCTAGGCATACCTTAACCAATATAAACTTTATTATACATCGTAGCCTGCATTATCGTATTACCTCTCAAATTACAATTCTATTGTTTTAATGCAAGTTTTTTTGTCTTATTATCTACAATAAAATCTACCCATTGACATGTATTGTATTGTTGGAGAACTTTGGTCAAACTTAAACAAAATTTCTGACCCATTATTATCAGACAATTGTCTCTCAGACATGGATTATGGTTTTAGATCAAATTAATTTGATGATCTTGATGTTGTAACTATGTGATATTTTGCTAATTATCAAATTATAAGATTATGCTAATGTCTATCAATTATAAATGATAGTAGGTCTGTTCCGTGTTCAGGTTGATAACTTGTGTAGGAGTTTACTTCACAAATTTACTGTTGTATTTTGGACTTTTATACAGGTATATGCTGGGGGCAATTATTTCTGAGTGTAATTGTCTATAAAGATAACAATTAATTTCATTATAGTGTTTTCACCTTTGTTTGAAACATCATAGATAAGACAAACAAAAAACGGACATTGAACTATGTAATGTTATTTATACTGAAATTGTACTATTTGGGCAGTCAAATTGCATCCATTGTATAAACATTTGTGATATACAGTCACTGACCTTATATCTTATAAGGTATAACGCCTTGTTTGTGAGGTTAGCAATGTAATTTTCTGTAGAGTTTTATTTATGACTTCAATAAAGAATACAGGTTCCCGCTTCAAATTCAAAATTGATGGTTTTAACTAAAAATATTTCATTTGGAACAGTTGTAAAAGTTTCAGTATAAAGAGAGCAACCATACAATGTCTGCAAATATCAATTTTATTTGTACTCAGCTTGAACAGGATAGAAATGCTTGGCAAAGCATGACATTCTTCCTGTTTCTAAGCCTAGTATGAATTAATTTTAGATTATGAGACAATGTATAGTTATTCTATAGATAAACAATCTAGAATTAAATTGGAGTAAAATAAATCTAGAATTAAATTGGACTAAAATAAATCTTGAATTAAATTGGACTAAAATAAATCTAGAATTAAATTGGAATAATATTTTTTAGATAGTTTTAGTACAAAATTTATCACATACTAAATACATGTATTCTAAGCAAGTTTTTGTTGCAGAAATATCATGTATATGCTTTCTCTCTCAAATTTCTTATAGTATTAGTTTGAGATAACTTGAAGAGCAGCACAATGTTTTATTCTAGTTGCACTATTCAAATTTTTATTACAATATGAGGTACCAACTGATTAAAAGCAAGCTCAACATTTGTTTGTAAAATTTTCCAAGCAAAATGCCCCCCTTAGTAAAGATATCTGGACCAAGATGATTGTTCAAGATACCCATTGAAAAAGTCAATTATCCAAATGCTGTAATGGCATGAATAAAATAATAAAAAGGCTATATTATCATTGACCATGAGAACTTGACTTTATTTAGGCAAAAGATAAAGAGTTCTTTTTTGTATATCTTTTCATTAAACATGTTGCATTCATCATACATGTGTTAATGCAATCAATGCTTAAAAAAAATATTAAAAGTTGACAAATGGTATTTCACAAATTCTGTTAGTGCACGGTACAGAAATGCCTGTAAAAGCGAACTGGCTATCCTCTCAAAAAGTTGTGTGTGTTGTTGTGCTAAGCATACCCCCAAAGTATTAGAAAACAGGAAGTAGGTGTCTGACAAGATGCAAAAGCTCAAAAGTTACATCTCATCACTGTAAAGCTGTTGATCAAATACAAAGTTATTCTGTTCAGTAGTACTGGAGTTAGAAATAAGATGGGGGTAGAACTACATACCAACTAGTCTATTACAAACTGCAATTTACCACTATACCTTACCTTATCAATCCTGTCCTGTAAATCATTTGATTTCTGTAAGATTTCACGTCTTTGTCGGACTAGCTGCCGATACTGGTCACACATTCTTTGTAACTCGATACATTTTGGACGTATAGAATCTACAGCATAGTTATCATCCATTATTAAATTCTCTCCTGTGCTTCTCATTCTATCAGCCTGTTCTAAATCCTTCTGTAAAAAAAGAATGAAAAATTTTATAGCTTTTATTGCAATATTTTGAAAAACAACTCAGTCCTCCGTTTATTGACCTACTGTACTCTTCATGTGTGCATTCAAATTAAAATAAAACATCCTTTTGCATTGATAAAGTGACGGAGGTAAATATAACACTGGAAACATATTTTTAACATAGCCAATAAAGCATCAGTTAACATATTATGCTAAGCCAGACACTCACAGTATAACTTGAGTTTCTTATATAATTACATTGTTAAACGTGAAGACAAAAATTGAAATATCAACTAAATCAAGACCAATACTTATATAATAATAATGAAAATTTCACTCCAAAGATTTAAATATTCGATATCATGTTGGATGAAAGGATATCACATTTTACATTAATTAGTCAATATTTCGTCAAACCTGATGCCATAGAGTCTACTATATGTTATAGGCAAAAATGTGACATGTCTTTTGTGAATAACATCAATTTATCATGCACATATACCACTAGTAAATAAAAATCAAGAAGGTAAATTTAGTTTTCTTAAAACCACAAAGACCTGCTTTAATAAATAATGCATAATTCTTGATGATAACAGTCAACATTCATAATTCTTGATGATAACAGTCAACATTCATAATTCTTGATGATAACAGTCAACATTCATAATTCTTGATGATAACAGTCAACATTCATAATTCTTGATGATAACAGTCAACATTCATAATTCTTGATGATAACAGTCAACATTGTTGCATTGGAACCAAAAAATGCAATATACAATATAAATGATTCTAGAGGTTAATTACTGGTAATGGAATTATAAATAATTCACTGGTATAAAATATCTAAAACATATTGCTGTTGGTTTTTACTTGAGAGAATCTAGAATATTAACTTATCCTGATATATTTTATCAATACAATAGAATCAATGGTAAAGACATGAGACGCAAAATCCCTACATGCAATTGACAAAACCTAGAACAAAGAAACAACGCTCTCATGATGTTCTTTATCTCCAAGTAACAGTGCGGACTTAATCTGTGAGCAAAAGCTCAAATATTCAATACAAGGTACAGAAAACCCCTAGTATTGGTTTAGGTGAAAATCTTTGATAGATATCGGCATGGCTACATTTGAGCATTGAAGCACACAGATACAGGGTAATATCAACGAACTACAGTATAAATATTAAGCAAAGAAATGAAATCGTACATATACGGCCATTGTTTGTCTGCCAATATAAAGTAATCCAAAGTGTGCTGATGTTGTGATGTTACTTTCTTAACTTGCATCTATTTTTTTTTAAAGCTACCATGTGATCTATTACTGTACAGAGGCCTCTACAAAATTTCTTGATACACAAGACTGAATTACCAAGAAAATTATCTGAAGCTTTCATGAGGATTGTTTTTCAAAAAAATTCTTAAAAAACAAATGTATTCACGTTTACCAATTCACAAAATGTATAGACTGCAAAGAAAACAGTTTAATTAAAAAAAGAAATAAGATATACAAATTTTCTATAAAGCATAAATTTGAAGGTTAGACATTTAATATGCAAGATCTTGCCATTTGTTTGGTTTTTTTTTCATTTGCACTAGGTTATTGTTTCATTTCCCTTGTTATTATTTTACTACAATCTAGATCCACCCATTTCTGCATTAAAAATGTATAGCAATAAACAAAATAAACATGCAATAAGCAACAAGGATGAATGATCATGAAGAAAACTTGTACAAGTCTTGATAAGTAATAATCCCTATGCATTGTGGTGTACCGACTAGCTTCCGTAACTATGACTGCATACAAATATAAAATCTCTTCCTAGTTTACAGTATCAACTTACTTTATCATGTCTTTTCCCATTTCATCCAAAACTTTTAACTTTCCCACATAAAACACAACAGAATTACTTTGAGAACAAACATATCAAGAGTTCATGAGAAGTAAGAAACAGTGTTGAACGATTTTCCACCTGACAGAAAACAGGACATGAAAACAATGTGTACAATTACATTACATTACCTCAATTTCTATATGATAAAGATTACCATAATTGAGCAAATCAATTGGCTTTAATAATAGATTTTCTATGTTAAAGATGGTACATAATAATGGTTATTGATATTTGACACAATCATTATATCATGTTATACAATTTTACTCAAACTTATTTACTTTCCATGTGTTTCTAGGGGACTACAGTTCACAGTAGAAAATATGATAATTTTGATTGAGAATCAGTTGGATCTTTAGTGTCCTGTCTGATCTTCCAACCATACTCAGAACAAGAACATTTAAATAATGAACATGAACCATCCATTGAACTATATAGACATGCTGAACAAGACTTTTTAAGTGCTAAACTGTTAGTTCATAAGGACACATTGCTCAATCAATCTCCCAGCAAACTAGTTTTTTTTTACTCCTATTGCAGTATATATAAATATGGAAAGCAAAAAGGAAAAAGCTATAGGTTCTTTTTAAAACATTTGTTTTGAACAGGACAGGGATTGCAATAACCAAATTCTACCAAGAAACAAAGAAAAGATTTCTAAATTGAGAATCCGTTTGAAAAAAAAATAATTTGCAATGTATACAAGCTATAATCTTTAATGTTGGCCAATAGTCCTAAGCAAAAAATTAGTTTAAAATGATTTGGAATTTTTTCTTGTTATGGAATATCAAAATTGAAAATGCCTTTTTGGCTATGGTAATTGAAAAGAAGAGATATATTTATGAATTCATGACACAAGACATCTACATGTACTTTGCAAAACCCCAAAGCAACGGAACAGAGCTCTTATTGCTGTTCTTCATCCCTAAGTCAAAGTAAGGCCTTCAAAATGAGTAACAGCTCACATCTCACTGCAAGTTCTAGTCAATCTCTATCGGCAATTACAAACAGTAATAATTTTAGTCTGCTATTTTGTATTCCTTAAAATAATCAGAAACTAGAATCTAATATGTTATCTAAATGCAGCAAATACATTCCAGGTTAAATGAATATTATTTTCTACATCACCTCTAAACGTGACATGAAGACTTCTATATCAACATAATGTACTTCTTCCTTCTCACCCTCCCATTTCAATAACACATACTCCCCTTCTTCATTCATAGTTTGAAAATATATAGTCACTCAGTTGTGCACAAAGAAATGGAACACATTCAAACAACTTGAGAAATCAAACTGTATAGACAGAAAAATCCCAATACAAATCTTGTATGATTCAACAAGCTATGTCCAAAACTGAATGTTGTATTTGGAACGCTTGAAGCATTTGATTTACATAGTTTATTAAGAATGATGAGAATCCATGTATTTAACTGTATATTTCTCTAAGAGTCAATTCATATAAGCAGCAAGTTCGAGCCTGCCTTGGTAAAAACTTTGGATTTGGTAATATTGTGAAATGGTATTTATTTTTGTTAAAGAATTTTAATTAGCTTAATTAAGTGGGAGTGTTGTGTGTATTGGCAGCTTAATTTTGACTTTTGTCCTTGTAACATGAATATAAATTCTTGTACTTCTTTGTAAAATAAGAACTTGTTTTACAAAAGGAATTTGTAACAACAAACATAATATTGCTTTTGTTCCTGTATTTAACAAGAAACAAATATTAATTCATAACAACAATATTTATTTTTTTTTTAAATTTACATTGACATGGGCATTCTAAAAATTTAAACCTACTCATAAAATTACCGGAAAATATACTATCAAGGAAGAAAAACAAAGAAATGAGACTTAATTTATAAAAAAAAAAAGAATAATGATTCTTTGTGTATAAATCACTTTGCAGTTCTAGTTCAATATAATAAAAAGTGATCTTGAATACCAATTACCAGTACATCAATGACTGATTGAAGGTGTTCTCATAGTAACTCTTCTACTGTTAGATTAAAAATAGGATCTTCATCATTCAATTGATCAAATTAACATGTTAAAGCATGACTTGAGAATGATGCTGAATGTTAATTATCTCCCCTTGATCAGCTAGACAAATAGATGCTCTAGGACAATAGGCCAAAGACCACAATTAATGATCCCGCTTTTCGTTGTCCACGAATATAGTTCCTTTTAATTAGAGTGTATTTTTTCTTAATTTTTTTTCTTTCCCTTCCTCACTCATTTCTTAGATTTTTTTGGATGGAAATGAAAGAAGAGAGGTGAAATAAACTTTTGGATGTTGTATTTTAACTGATTTTGATATGGAAAGAGTAATTAGGCCAGGTGCAAAAAGGTGATATTTACAGTTTTCGGAACATCTCTTGACTTGTCCATAGGGGTATGGATGTGTATTGGCTAAATTTGTAAGATGCTGGGGAGCGATATTTCTGAATGTTTGATATATGTTTGGACTAGTACTGTACTTTACACACACAAAATATTTGACAAAAAGAACCGGAGCATTTTTTTTAATGAAACAAAACGTTATAAAGAACTAATAGAGAATTTAATTGTGGTCTGTGGCCTAAGAGGTGAAATTCAGGAAATATTGAATTTGTACTTTGACAACTTCCCTGAATGATCTATTGGTATTAATTTGTCAAACTACATGAGAATAAATGATTTCCACTTTTATTTGATAGAAATTTTGTAAAAAAGTGACATTTCAGCCTACATGCCCAAAATTGAACTTTTTCAGTTGTTTCAATATTTTTACAAAAGTAGCATGCTTACTTTCTCTCTCACAGGTTTTTCTGATTTTCTACTTGTGTTTGTGGTACCTAATGTAGATGTTTAACTCATTTTTGAACACTAAACATACAAAAAAAGTAGATAAAATCAGAATAAGAGTGCAAAATGTGCTGCTTTAATGGTCCTAGTCTAACGGTCAGTATGAAGCAAGTGAAAAATGAGGTTCTATGCACATACAAGTTGAATTCCTTTTAGCAGATTTCACTGAAACTGTATCAAAAGCACTTATTACTGGTTGTTTGACCTTGTCTGTTTCACAGACTACCTTTATTTTCTTTTGTTTGATAGCTAGTGG